GGCCTTTTTAATGCCTGAATGTACTTATTCATAATTAGTCATATTTTTCTGCACCAATACTTATATACCACACCTGTGAACTAAGGCCACCCATGTGATATACACGTGGTTTTTATTTCGAGGTTATTTTTATTCCATTTTATCAAAAGAAAATTTACTCCATTTTATCCGAGTAAGGTTATCAAATGAGACTGTAATTTACAGGTTTAACTTTAATTTACAGGTTGTCATTTTCACAGGTTTGGCTGTAGAGAGCACAGAATATCATTGGCATATTTTTTCTGATATTTTTTTTTTATTTAGAGTGTGTTCGTAAATACCTTGTGCTGACTCAAGTTACCTTCATTCATACACTTGATAGTGTTGTATAGACATGTAGTTTTCAATGTTTTTTTTTATTTACAAGAAGATAGTTTGAAACTTGGGGTGCGCTCTGTTTATTAAAATGAATACGTTTTACCAAAATGGTGAACCCGGATGTAATGTATTTTCATTATTGTACACTTACGTTACCTGTCGCTTTACGTTGTAATAAATATTTTTTTTGTGATTTACCCGTTTAAACACATTTTTTAGATATAAATATTTTTATAAATACCCGGCTATGCACCGGGTGTATTCACTTCATCTAAATATAATGATTTCACAATCATGATCAACGGACGATAACGTTAAGCTTAAATTTATTCAGTAAAGCGGAAACTGTTAAAATGTTTTACACTTAAGGAAAATACAAATTTTGAGAGAGAAAAAAATAGTTATGTTGTGAAATTGTTTCCCGTTTGAAACGAATTTTATGGAAAAATCTAAAATAAACATGTAATTAATAAACTGTCAGGGTGTTAAACAATGTCTGGTAAGTATATAGTTTCTTTTATATTTTACGTTCAACGACGGTATGTAATGATCTCAGAGTAAATGGAATTGAATAACTCTTAATTAACATAATTTATAAACATTTTGTGACATGCCTAGATAATTGACTTTGTCGTTTTTCAGCGCCGCATATAATTATGACCAAATTGTTGAACTCAGTACTGTAGGGCTAGCTCTTACACTTTAGTTACATGATTAAGAATTTCTTCAGATGCCTCAATTGAAATAAAAATTTTGCATGGAACATGGGTTATCCCCGTGAGACCAAGCCCTACCCTCTTGGTGCCACCCCAAGGTTCCACCCCAGGAACCTCTATACTACCAAAATGTACTTCAAGCCACTTAAAATACATGTGAATACAAAATCAATCAATTCTAACGAAAAAAAAATATATTGCTGATACTAACTATGAAACATAACCTGTGGCATGGAATATCAACATATACAGAGTAGTGCCCGCACGAAATAGGCATACAAATAACCCTGAACCCACAAATGGACGTGGCACCCACGGTGTCCGTACTGTGAGTTCTGCAAGGTCAATAGTTTATAGGTCAAGATCGGCGCTATCCGTATTAAGGTATCAATTAAAGGTTTAGTTTATCATTGCAATTACCACACCAAATCTATTTTTAAATAAACGAGAAAGAATCACACACGCGACCCTAGTGGGAGTCAGTTATTTTCAGGTCAAGGTCAAATTATATGAAAGATACACTCGTACTCGTACTTAAAAAATCTAACAATATTAAGTTCGGTTCGAGCTTCATATTTACAAACATTCCCTTATTATCTGGGCTAGTCCGTGGAGCCGCTTCTCGATCAATGCATATAGCTGACTAAATAAGTGGATACGATTTGAATTTGACCACAGCATATTTATTCACAAAAGAGCACATGTCAATGTTTGTGGTTATTTAATCTATTGTTATTCTTCAATTAAAGGTCAGAATAGGGATCTATCAATACGTACGAAACGCATAGGGTCTATTTTTATCTCAAATGTTGGCAATCTGTACCAAGGGAGGTAATCACTGTAAAAGGAGTTTGAAAAGTTGACTCTTGTGACCTCCCCTGACAGTCCATGTCAACAGATGAAATTTAAATTTTATCGTCATACCGAATAACAGGATCATCCTAACATTAATCAATATTTTTGTACTTATTTTATGGGGCGTAAACATAAACGAACTTGCCCCGACCCTATACACTCAGAAAAACAAACAGATAAGATTTTATTTACATTATCCGATAAAGTGTCGTTAAAGTTTCCACCTTTTCATATCTTTGGACATTAAATTAAATATTTTAGCTATTTCTGGATCCGTCGATATTTGAATGAAAAGGATTTTAAGTTTATCTTTAACTTTAGTAAGGTCTTTCTGTGATATACGACACCCACGTAACGTGCAGGTAATTTTAAACTTAAAATGATGAATAGTTTCGGTCAATTATTAACTGGGGATTGAAAGAAAATTGTAAAAAAGTAATGAATAGAATAGTTTACACTGAAATGATTTGAAAAATAATGAAAAGTTCAGACTTATATTTCATAACATTTCAGTAAGAAGGCATAATATAGTTGGATGAATTAAAAAAAAGCAATAATTGGTTCTTTGGATACATTTTAGTTTGAAAAGTAATTAATAGATTTTTACAGGAATATACGTAACATGATTTCAGGATAAAAACAACTGTTTGTAAAGTAATGAATAGCTAGTAATTTAAGATAAAAAGCGACTTGCAGATGGAAATAAGTAATCATAAATAGCCACGAAGTCTACCGGCAAAATCAAAGTGTATTTTTTGTGATCAATTATTCATGATACCAAGTCTATTACAGGACTTTTTATTTATATCATCAATTACTTGTAATATTTGAAGTTTCATGAGAAGTTCGGGATCACCATTTGTATTCTAAGGTACCACTAACATATTAACATTTTAAGGTTCATTATTAGTTCGTCATTGCCAATTACATCTTCAGCTAATCGATTCACATTTTAAGGTACCTATTATACGCCCGTTTGAAAAACGGGACGTATTATGGGAACGCCCCTGGCGGGCGGGCAGTCGGGCGGGCGGCGTCCAATTTTGTCCGGAGCATATCTCCTACATGTATGGAGGGATTTTAATGAAACTTCATAGAAATGTTCACCACTATGAGGAGCAGTGTCGAGCACATGAACCAGGTCTCTAGGTCAAAGGTCAAGGTCACACTTAGAGCTCATTGAAAAATGCTTGTCCGGAGCAAAACTTCCACATGTATAGAGGGATTTCAATATTACTTGGCACAAATGTTCACCATTGTGAGGCGGAGTGTCGCGCGCAAAATTCAGGTCCTTGCGGCCAAGGTCAAGGTCACACATAGAGGTCAAAGTTCAGATAAAAATATGAAGATGTGTATATGGACCATTTAGTCATCATTTATTGAGGGATTGTAACACAAATGGTCATTATCAAGACTATGGCTGTGATACATATAATTTAGGTCAATATATACAAGGTCAAGGTCACTAAAGATGATGAAATATCCAGATTTTGTAAATAGAATTTAATCAAAGGGCGACAACAAAGTTATTACTTTGTTCATAAATGACTTACACAATTACTCCCCTTGATCTACTTTCACTTTCAATTCTAAAATTAGAATTTAATCAAAGGGCATAAAATAATCCTCTTTCTTGGACTTGAGTATGTTCTAAAGAATGTAACATTCATTTACACATGTTTCATTCATTGGTCAAGATTCTTAACTGTGATAACTATGGTGTTCTGTAGACTTGGTATTTGTTCATAAAGATCATACAGTAATTACCTTATCAAATGTAAATACTTTCCCATAGAAATTTAATTATATTTTAATTTTCAAGTAAATATCAGTTCAGCTCATTCAAAGATTAAGAATTGTAATGAAATGTATTTCCCTAGAATAAAATCTTAAATCAGAATTTTTTAGTTATTAAATTACAATTACATGTACTTTTTATCTTCCCTACTGATTTGTTTTAAGGTTCATTTAACAACACAGTGCCAAGGATAAAAACTTGCTTGCTAGATAACACTTATTCATAATGCCCCCATCTCCATCTAAAGCTTTCGTAAACGGGCGTATTTTGTGACTATGGCACCCTTGTTTTTTTATTTGCCTAGGACTTCCAATTACATTTTAAGAACTTATTGTGCGTGTAATTTCAGCGATGTAATATATTTCAAATTCACATTTAGCCACCTTGTATGAATACGTTATATAAATGTACAATATTAATGTTATTCTTGCCATATGAATCCCTAAAATATGAACAATAAATATATTTTAAATGAACTCCACTGAGGTTTAAAGGCCTTATAACTAAAAATTGAAAATGTATTAAGTGAAACACTTAAAATTGAAAACTTCGCAATGGATAACAAAGAAATATACTCAAAATTAGATTGAAAATCGATTTTTTGTGCGATTAGTACACGACGTAGCAATGCTTTTTCATTTTTTGGTCATTTTGCAAAATGATAACTCTGGAAAAATGGGGAGAGGGGATAAAGTCCGAGAAGTTCCTATTATCTGTAGAATGAAAACATATGATAATTATTATATTGACGTTACGTGGTTGCATCTCAATGATGACTATAAAGTTACCATAGAAGTATCTGATTACTCATTGATACTCTTGTAGATAAGAACAGTAAATATTTATATTTCTGTCACAGATTGCATAGAGCAGTATTACAGCTTTAAATCAATTTTATGGGGTAGCATATGGGCCAAAAGTAAAGTTTTGCGAATATTTTCATTTTATTGTACAGGTTGGTGTTTAACATACACAAATGTAGATTGTTTATTTCTTAATTAACTTTTAATCTGTAAATTATTAATAATGATAAACACAAAATTCGATAATCATGAGTATTAATTAAAAAAGTTAACTGGTGATGAGGGTATGAATTTTATTGCGCGAGCTTGTCTTTTGGTACCACTTGTACGCCATACATTAAAGTTTAAATACTGGGGTATAAGAATGCTCATATTTCGTACTAGGTCGAAAATTGTCAGAGACAACTTCAAGGATGAGCTTCAGATATTGTGATATTGTATTTAGCTTTAATAAATATACGTGGGAGCTGATTTCAATAGCTGTAGTACAAAGTGAAATCTTCGTCTTTTCAATAATACTAGCAATGTGGCAATTAACAACGGTTTTAATAACCTAATGTAAATAAGATGTTCATATTTCACTAGAAACTTTAAAGTTAACCGGAGATGGAAAATTTGTAATCTTAAAAAAAACCTCGATGTAAAAGAAACGCTATTCGGTGTTGAGATTTAATTTGTTGGAAAAATGGATTAAACTAATACTTTTTTAACGATAAATGTTGAACTTAGAATATATCAAATATGACATGAAACGTTTGCTTTAAAAGAAGTTTTTTTTGTATGATAATATAACAATATGCTAAGAAGGGCAGGTGAGCAACTTTTTTTTAAAACGTAATTTTTATCATGTTATCACTTTAATTAACTATCTTATCTTATCTTATCTTGTTATGTTGTCTAAGTTTTTATGGGACATGTGCGCCGATTTTATCCGATCGCTCGGTCATTTTTGTATTACCATTTCTTTTTTGGCCGAAGACCGTCTATAATCAGTTTGACATTCTTGTAAAAACTGGAAGAATGGAATATCAGAAGAATTTTCATTGGTCAAGGATGAGCCAAAATATTTCCGTAAAATCAAATACCGATATTTTAGGAATGGTTAAAAGATTTAAGATTTAAGAAATAATTTAGATATTGCGTGCGATTAATGATGGATTTTATCAGTATTTATAACCGTATTTCTACTGCGTTACTAACGTAGTAAAGGCTTTTTTTTCCAAAATATTTTGACCCTATTTTGGTAATTTACATGGTTTGTGAGTGCCGTTTGAAATGTGTAAATTGCTTCCTTTCGGTTACTTCACAATATCACAGCATGAATCTGTAGGCGTGTGACTTTAATCCACAGATTTATTTTCCCTTTAATGGTGTATATTTTTGTAAGAGATAATAGATAAGGCTACACTGAAAATATTTTTCTTCTTTATTACTTATTGAACAAACATTTTATTGACAAAATCTTAGATATATTGAATACGTGAAGCTTACCTGGACCCTTCACTGGCCTTCAGCAAACAGAAGTGTTTGAAGTTATGTCAATAGGACAGTGTCTCGGTCACTGTGTGGAAAAATAAATTTTCCCCATTTTTTCTCATAGTTTTTTTTAATTGAATTATAGCTCTATTCTTTAAAAAGGGTGTTGGTCAATGTTCGTAAGGGTCATGCACATGAACGGCTAAATAAAGATGTTCCTCTGTCTTCTTCTTTTCTCATCCAGCATTAATTTATCGGCATATGTCTTAAATATTTGATACATATATCTTACATGGTCCATGAGGGAGTTTAATACTAATAGGACCAAAGTGAAATCTCACGCGACTTTATGCCTATCCAAGTATTAATTTCTTCTGATGATATTTTTTTTACATATGAGCCGCGTCACGACAAAACCAACATAATGGGTTTGCGACCAGCATAGATCCAGACCAGCCTGCGCATCCGCGCAATCTGATCAGGATCCATGTTGTTCGCTATCAGTTTCTCTACTTGTTATAGGGTTGGTAAGCGAACAGCATGGATCCTGATCAGACTGCTGTGCAGGCTGGTCTGGATCCATGCTGGTCGCAAACGCATTACGTTGGTTTTGGGGGCGTCCGTGGCCGAGTGGTTAAGGTCGTTGACTTCAAACCATTTGCCCCTCACCACTGTGGGTTCGAATCCCGACAGGGACTTTGGATTCTTTCATGTGAGGAAGCTAACCAACTAGCTTACGGAACGTCGGTGGTTCTACTTAGATGCCCGTTCGTGCCTGAATTATTGCACGGAGGGGCACCTGAGGTCCTCCACCAGTAAAGCCGGAACGTCGCCAAATGACCTATACTGTGTCGGTGTGACGTAAAACCCAATCAAACAAACAAACGTTGGTTTTGTCGTGACGCGGCTCGTATGTATTTTGTTGGTGCCCTGCATTGCCCTCTATATTTTGGTATGTTTTCATTTCCTTTTGTTCAAAGCCAGTTGGGTAAACTGTTTTGAAGAAAAACAACAAAATATATCACACGACATGGGAGCTGAATTTTGAAGTAATGAAGGATCAAAACACTCCAAGAGCTAAGTTCCGCGTCTTTTTTTTATCCGTGCAATAAATCCCCATAGATTTCACCAATAATATTTTTTCGGTAATTTCCGTCATAACTGATTGTCAATCGGAACGACCTCGGCTAATATTCATAATTTGAAGACTGACGGAAATGGGTGAAAAGTTACGATTGAATGATTGTGAGCAGATGTGCAATCGGCGGGATGTTTCGAATGCGATAGAATGTTAAAATCACATTGAAGGCATTGTGTATGGCTTATACATGTTTTATTATGTCTCCCCCACCTCGGGGGGAGACATATTGTTTTTGCCCTGTCCGTCCGTCCGTCCGTCAGTCCGTCCGTCAGTCCGTCCGTCCGTCAGTCCGTCCGTCCGTCCATTCTTCGTTTCCGGACGATAACTAGAGTTCCTTTTGACCTACAGCCCTCAAACTTCATAGGATGATTGGTCTTATAGAGCTGATGATCCCTATTGTTTTTGGGGTCAGTAGGTCAAAGGTCAAGGTCACACTGACCGTTGGTCAATTTCTCGTTTCCGGATGATAACTAGAGTTCCTTTAGACCTACAGACCTCAAACTTCATAGAATGATTGGTCTTATTGAGCAGATGATCCCTATTGTTTTTGGGGTCAGTAGTTCAAAGGTCAAGGTCACAGTGACCGTTGGTCAATTTCTCGTTTCCGGATGATAACTAGAGTTCCTTTTGACCTACAGCCCTCAAACTTCATAGGATGATTGGTCTTATAGAGCTGATGATCCCTATTGTTTTGGGGTCAGTAGTTCAAAGGTCAAGGTCACAGTGACCGTTGGTCAATTTCTCGTTTCCGGATGATAACTACAGTTCCTTTTGACCTACAGCCCTCAAACTTCATAGGATGATTGGTCTTATAGAGCTGATGATCCCTATTGTTTTTGGGGTCAGTAGGTCAAAGGTCAAGGTCACAGTGACCGTTGGTCAATTTCTCGTTTCCGGATGATAACTAGAGTTCCTTTAAACCTACAGACCTCAAAATTCATAGGATGATTGGTCTTATTGAGCAGATGATCCCTATTGTTTTTGGGGTCAGTAGTTCAAAGGTCAAGGTCACAGTGACCGTTGGTCAATTTCTCGTTTCCGGATGATAACTAGAGTTCCTTTTGACCTACAGCCCTCAAACTTCATAGGATGATTGGTCTTATAGAGCAGATGATCCCTATTGTTTTTGGGGTCAGTAGGTCAAAGGTCAAGGTCACAGTGACCGTTGGTCAATTTCTCGTTTCCGCATGATAACTAGAGTTCCTTTTGACCTACAGCCCTCAAACTTCATAGGATGATTGGTCTTATAGAGCAGATGATCCCTATTGTTTTTGGGGTCAGTAGGTCAAAGGTCAAGGTCACAGTGCAGTGGGGGAGACATGCGCTTTTTTACAAAAGCATCCTCTAGTTATATGTTAAGTCAATTTATATTTGAGCCGTGCCATGACAAAACCAACATAATGGGTTTGCGACCAGCATGGATCCAGACCAGCCTACGCATCCGTGCCGTCTGATCAGGATCCAAGCTGTTCGCTATCAGTTTCCCTACTTGTTATAGGGTTTGTAAGCGAACAGCATGGATCCTGATCAGACTTCGCGGATGCGCAGGCTGGTCTGGATCCATGCTGGTCGCAAACCCATTATGCTGGTTTTGTCATGGCACGGCTCACTTTTAAACTGTCAATAGATGTAACATCTGTGTCTCTGTCTGTCAAGAATAAGAATATCATATCTGATCTTGTGATACTACTTTTGTTTATAGCATAAACATGCTTTGTATAGGGTTTTTTTTATTTCATAGATAAAATATGCAAACGATCACCATTGTTATGGCAGATATCGACTTTTATATATAATCTGTAACTCGCCGCTTAGTGAATACCATCACGTAGCTTCACAAGAACGTGAGCGATAATGAAACATCCGGCCCATGCGCAGGAGAGTACTGTAACGCAAGCATTCAATTATTTCATCACAGCGTCTATTATAGTTACACTCGAAACACCAAGTCATTTCCTTTATGAAATATGTGGACAGTGTCGAACATTTGCAGAACAGCTCAACAGATATAATTATAATTACAATAATCATATATCATTTTCTTCTCAGCTACTACTTATAAGTGTTTATCAAATCCTTAAATTCGTGAAATATGCACCAGAGCATTTGATGACAATTATAATTTGAAAGTCAGGTTAAGATCCTTATAAAATGTATGCAATATTTTCGCGTAGAATAATAGCTATTATAATTTCCTGTTGTCTGGAAAAACATGTTGTAAACCTGGACAGCGGCCCTGAATCTCCCACGCAGTCATCTCACCTTACATGATTAGATTGCCGTGGCGGAGTTTGAGCGGCCCTACTGTACACCAACTGTTATTTTGCAACGCACGTATTATGACAATTGTTAAGATTTTCATTTACAAACTTCACGGTTTGTATATTACGCAACATATTTTGCCTACTTCCAGTGAATCCTAGATCTAGGCCTTTATTTTGTATGTTATTTATAAATGATGATTATTTTTTGTGCTTTTGGTCAATGGTATTTAGAAAATTGCAGTGGGTATAAAATTATCGACAGCTGTTTGAAAATTAATTTGTAAAAGGCTATCATTAAAAGCTTTTAACCAGGTAGTTATATTGACATTATCGACTCTGTATCATAGTTTACCATATCTACAGTATGAAGTGCATCGGCCTTTTTAAAAGATTGTGGCAATACCACGTGGTTTATTGATATGGCGTCATTTCCTAACAAACATTAGATTCTACAATTATAGCAAACATTGCAGAAATCAGATATGAATATTTTTTCTCTCTGTTTTCTGATGTACATTAATCGATAAAATAGATTCTAATTATTTCAACTCGTATAAAAAATGAGGTACACCGTAATGTATATGACGTCATGTAGTGTAAACGTCATACATGTATTGACATTTTCATGGAATCATCATGGCTGCTTTCTTCGGTCTAAAATATATATCACCAAACTCCTCGCAGCGGTTACTTCCCCTGATCTGTACAGTTAAAGTAGCAAAGCGTGACGTAACCGCTGTGAGGAGTTTGATATATCACATGATAATACCCACTGAAAATGTTGATTTTCAAAGCAAGAAAAGCAGCAAGCCATGTCCGAATGTTTTCTGAACAGATTATAAAAAAAAATGTTGTTATATTTTCAGTTTCAATGCAGAATGCAACAGTCAACTTTGTGTTGGGTTTGTCGGTCGGCCTCGTGTTTGCATTCCTTGCAGTGTCTTACATGTCAGGTAAGTTATCGTTCAAAGATAATTAAGTTGAAAATGACTCAAACTTTTGCATCATTTGTCATAACAGAATGTTATAAAGATTAAATTATAAGAGTATACATGTATTATTTACAGAATTTTGCATGGATCACTACTGTAGTGAGGCAGGCCTTTTCCTAACCATTTTGGGGAAAAGTATCGAGCCCAGAGCCCCAGATTGGTAAATTTATGTCATAAAATTACTTAATTGGGAAAATATATTTGGTACCTTTTGAAACCTCCTTCATGCTCTTTGAGCATAGTATTTTGAATTGTGCAACGATTGCAAATATCATTCAAAGATGAAATGTGCGGAATCATTATTCTTTTTAATACCATACAGTACTGAAATAATCAGAAAATCTGTCAGTTTAGATAACGGGAATTTCAGTTTGATTGGGAATATTTTTAAAGATTGGGACAAAATAAGCATATTTGCAATTGGCATTGGAAAATAGTCTGGTAATTATCCCCCGCCGATGAAATCGGGAGGGGGATATAGTTTTGACGTTGTCCGTCCGTCCTTCCGTCCTTCCGTCCGTCCGTCCGTCCATCCGTCCGTCCGAATTTCGTTTCCGGAGTAGTTCTCTGCAACTAATGGCTGGAATTCAACGAAACTTTATGGGAATGTTGATAAGCATGTGAAGTTGTGCACCTGGGTATTTTCGTCTGGATATTTTTAGTATTTTTAGAGTTATTGCCCTTGACTTAGTAAAAATTTTTTTTTCGTTTCCGGAGTAGTTCTCTGCAACTAATGGCTGGAATTCAACGAAACTTTATGGGAATGTTGATAAGCATGTGAAGTTGTGCACCTGGGTATTTTCGTCTGGATATTTTTAGTATTTTTAGAGTTATTGCCCTTGACTTAGTAAAAATTTTTTTTTCGTTTCCGGAGTAGTTCTCTGCAACTAATGGCTGGAATTCAACGAAACTTTATGGGAATGTTGATCAGCATGTGAAGTTGTGCACCTGGGTATTTTCGTCTGGATATTTTTAGTATTTTTAGAGTTATTGCCCTTGACTTAGTAAAATTTTGTAATTTTCAACTTGTGTTGCATGTAACTCAAAAAGTATTTGACCTAGAGTCATGAAACTTTACAGGAATGTTGATCAGTATGTGTAGTTGTGCACCTGGGTATTTTCGTCTGGATATTTTTAGTATTTTTAGAGTTATTGCCCTTGACTTAGTAAAATTTTGTAATTTTCCACTTGTGTCGCATGTAACTCAAAAAGTATTTGACCTAGAGTCATTAAACTTTACAGGAATGTTGATCAGTATGTGTAGTTGTGCACCTGGGTATTTTCGTCTGGATATTATTAGTATTTTTTAGAGTTATTGCCCTTGACTTAGTAAAATTTTGCAATTTTCAACTTGTGTCGCATGTAACTCAAAAAGTATTTGACTAGAGTCATGATACTTTACAGGAATGTTGATCAGCATGTGTAGTTGTGCACCTGTGTATTTTCGTCTGGATATTATAAGTATTTTTAGAGTTATTGCCCGTGACTTAGTAAAATTTTGTAATTTTCAACTTGTGTCGCACGTCACTCAAAAAGGATTTGACCTAGAGTCATGAAACTTTACAGGAATGTTGATCAGCATGTGTAGTTGTGCACCTGGGTATTTTTGTCTGGATTTATTTAGTATTTTTTATGAGTTATTGCCCTTGACTTAGAAAATTTTTGCAATTTTTAACATGTGTCGCATGTAAACTCAAAAAGGATTTGACATAGAGTCATTAAACCTTATTGGAAAGTTGCTCAGCATATTTAGTGTGTTCCTGGGGTTTCGCTTGTGGATTTATCCAGTATTTGTAGAGTTTTTTCCTTGACTTAGTAAAAACTGTTTCATTATGTTGTTATTTGATCCTTGAGTGTTAGAATCGACCAACTTTACAGGAATAATGATCAACATCACTAAATTACAGGAATAATGATTCACCTCACTGTGAAGCTATGAACCTGGGACTTTGCATGTGGATTTTTTTCAGTTTTGTTAGAGTTATTGCCCTTGAATTACAGTAGTATAAATTTGCAATTTTCAACTTGGGGTTTGCTTGGGGATTTATTCAGTATTTGTAAAGTTCTTGCCCTTTACTTAGTAAAAAGATTTTTAGTTTTCAAAAATGCAAAATTAAAAAATCTTGTCTGAAAGTACAAGGCCTAGAGCTTTGATATTTGGTATATGATATAACCTATAGGTCCTCTACCAAAATTGTTCAAATTTTAGCCCTGGGGTCAAAATTGGCCCCACTCCAGGGGGTCATAGATTTTCCTTTACATTGATTCTCCACTAAACATTCAAATTAGGCTGTAAGTAATAGTGAATAATTGACATTTGCGAATAGTTACCCAGACACCTTTTTTAGTTGGTACAACTCATGTATAACATTGAACACATACTGGTTCTTTTAACATTTCACCAAAAAACTTGTAATATTTCCTGAAATTAAGTTACCAAGAATTCGAGATTTGTGCAAAAACAGATACGTTACCATTTTCCAATTGCTTTCAGAGACTAGATAGAAATAATTAGCATGAATATACACGATTTAGAAATTTATTATCATACTTTCAGCATTATAGCACCAGTATATATTACAAAATATTATGCATTAATATGCATTTTAAAAAAAAATCAACGTCTATGAATAGCTTGTGAACTGAAGCTGATGAAAATGTTACTTATTAATCAGACTTGTTTATTCCAAATACATGAGTTACTTATAAAAGCATTTTAGGACAATAAAAATACTTATGTTCCATACTTATCTATTGACAAAATGTAGCTCGAATTTATTTAACAGTATAAATTTATTCCGCTAAGTGGAAACAAATATTAAATCATAGTAACGTATCTGTTTCACAGTTCTTCTATGAACAAAATTATGAAAAACCCTGAACACATAGATAGATATCCATAAAGTTTTATAAACAACTGACCAATAAATAATATGTCTGAACCAGTACTTTTAATATTAAACAGAACACACAATATCATTTAAAGTTTTTTTTAGGTTTTATTGTTTTATGTGTAGCTTCAAATAGTCAAATACCATTGTGACTTTAAGAAACAGATTGAACTTAACAAGAACATTTGAATAAAGACACTCATCTATTAGAATATGTATTAGCTAGATTAATGTGAGTGTTTCATAGACTAGTGTGAATTGACATTCTGTTGTCTTTTTGGTTCATCTGCTGTTCAATTGTCTTTATTTTTTCTAATACTTTTTCTTTATATTCTGGTACTATCTCGATCCTTGATTTTGTCATACTTCGTGATATGAGTAAGCCTACATGTATTTGCTTATCTACATTTAACAAAATTATATCAGAAACAATGGTACCGCTTAAAGAAAACCAACTTAGTAAGAATTAATCCATATATATGTGCACCTCCAAGATTTTGAGCTATATGCAATTAGTCCATCCCTACCATAGACAGAAAATCTTGATACGACCCTGACTAAAATTTAGAAACTAACGTGCATTCATTTAAAAATACTTTAATATGTTTTTTCATTAAGTTACAATGCTGTCATATATTGCCTAACCATATACATGTATTACTTATTTAAACCAAAGTTTTTTTCGTTGAAGATTTAGTTATATATATTAAACAGTACTCAAATCTCTTTCTAAACAGATACGTTACTATGATAAACAGAATACGTTACCAGAAGTTATACAGTCCTCTACATTTTATTTTTAATACAAATTTTGCAAACCAAAAATATATCAACATATATTATTCCAGGAAATAAAACAGTAAATCTCTAATGTTTCTTTCCTGTTTTTCAACATTTTATTTTCTAGAAAACTCAACTAATCCTTGAATTTCAAATTCCTGATTCACATTTTCAGTTTCAAATAAAATCGAGATCAAAGCATCATTTATCGGCTACACGTACGTTATTCTGTAAGTTTTTACATAAAACCATTTCAAAATTGAGCAAAATCGTCAATTAAGATTCAAACAATAAATATTGGTAACGTATCTGTTGGTAACGTATCTGTTGGTCACAAAACTAAAATATATCAGATTTACACATATGTTTGCCAAATATATTGAAATATTAAGTTTTGTAAAGCATATATTTGAATAATGCATAAATGCGATCCTACTTTTAAGTACTGGTAATAGTAAATGTTTCTCAGTGGGATATCATGGTAACGTATCTGTTTCACTTTAAAGTATAATCCAAATTGCCTCATCATTGCAAAGTCATTGTGGTTCTAGCATGTATGTTGTCGTCAAAATTATTTTTGAATAATGAAATATGATAAAACTTGAGTTCAATAGCAAACTATTAATATGTTACAAGTTCATATTACTCTTACTCAGGTTTACCTGAAGTTTGGTAACGTATCTGTTCAATATATGAGGGACATGCATTTCAGCTGGTAACTTTTTTTCAAATTCACTGTAGAAAACAATAAAAATCGCTCACTTAGACATTTAAACTAATACTTAATACTAAAGCAGTTTTTCTTCAACACATGTTTCAGGTGAGAATATGTAAAACCAACAGTAATATGGGACCCAAGCCTGGGGACATTACATAATGGGTTATACAGCACCTTTGCATGATAATATTTTCGTATAAATCCAACAGACTAAGTCATTAATTTGAATGCTTTACATACATGACTATGTAATGAAGCAATAGAATGCCCAAAAAGTATTTTTCAACTGCAGTGCAACAAAATATACTCGAGGGACAAAATATTTTCTAATTTGCACGTTTAGTGGAGAATCAATGTTATATGTATATTATAAGTGAAAACTTAAAATTTTTTCTTGTTTGAAAGTACAAGGCTTCAAGTTCAAAGAATATTACAGTTTATGCCATGATTAATATATAAATAAAGCCTTATGTCTTCAGTTGTTGTGTTAATAATAACCAGTACTCGGCGGGGGATATAAATTCAACGAATTTGCTTGTTTGAAATTGACACGTGGAGACACTGGGTAAAGGCATGCTATTTGATACTTAAATTGCTCTATGTATAATTACTATTAATGCGTCAATATTGGCCCAGTATTTTTCAAGTTCTGTCGGAATATGAAACCTTTAGTTAAACTTTAAGACAAACCAATTCTATAACTCTCATATGACGCCTTTCCAGACAAAAACCTAAAACGTCCTTTCCATTGCATTAATTAATTAATTAATTCAAGTGCTTACAAATATAATTTTAACAACAAAAATAATGTGTGATGACCAATTTGTAACCTTTTTGTAGAATTCTCTATTTATTATCAGAAACTCTCCATTTTTCGTATTTTTTTTCCAACAGGGTCGTCCGGCATTTCCATACACACACCACGTCGAATACCGGTTGAAGAAGTCAGCAAATTTAACAACGTGCCAGATTCTGTCTTGACACATGAAGACCTAGATAAGATTCAACAAATCGTGCGTCCAGTCCAGTTCGAAGATGCTCACGCTCATCATGGTAATATCACATCATCTGATTTTCTTATCTTCCATTTACTAGTACAAGTCCTTGTCTTCCGTTAGTTATTCTTATCTTCCGATTTGTTTTTCTGCCTACTATATGTGTTCTCTTAATAATCGTTAATTATCCTCCACTTAATTGTTTCTTGTCTTCCAATTAAGTTTTCTTAGTTTTCAATTGTTTTTTTTTGTCCCTAGATTAGGTTTTCTTTTGTTACTATTATGTCTTTTCTTGACGTTGTCCTCTTTCGTGTTTTTAGCTCACCTGAGCATATGCTCAATGTGAGCTATTAGGATCACTCTTCGTCGTCCGTCGTCCCGTTCACACTTTTAAAACGACATCTCCTCTGAAACCGTAAGGCAGATCATAATGAAACTTCACAGGGATGTTCCTTGTGTGAAGCCTTAACAAAGTTGTTCAAAGAATTTCATTCCATGCAGAACTCTGGTTGCCATGGCAACCAAAAGAAAAAACTTTAAATATCTTCTTCTAAAAAAACCCAAAGAGCTAGAGCTTAGATATTTGGCATGAAACATCTTCTAGTGAGTGTCTACCAAGTTTGTTCAAATAAAAGCCCTGGGGTCAAAATTGGCCCGCCCCAGGGGATCATTGATTTTCCCTATATGCATATAGTAAAAACTTAAAAAATCTTCTTTTAAAGAACCCAAAGAGCTAGAGCTAAGATATTTAGCATGAAACATCTTCTAATGGGTGTCTACCAAGTTTGTTCAAATAAAAGTCCTGGGGTCAAAATTGGCCCCGCCCGAGGGGGTCATTGATTTTCCCTATATGCATATACATGTAGTAAAAACTTAAAAAATCTTCTTTTAAAGAACCCAAAGAGTTAGAGCTAAGATATTTAGCATGAAACATCTTCTAATGGGTGTCTACCAAGTTTGTTCAAATAAAAGTCCTGGGGTCAAAATTGGCCCCGCCCCAGGGGGTCATTGATTTTCCCTATATGCATATACATGTAGTAAAAACTTAAAAATCTTCTTTTAAAGAACCCAAAGAGTTAGAGCTAAGATATTTAGCATGAAACATCTTCTAATGGGTGTCTACCAAGTTTGTTCAAATAAAAGCCCTGGGGTCAAAATTGGACCCGCCCCGGGGGTCATTCATTTTTCTTATATGTGTATAACAAAAACTTAAAAAATCTTCTTTGAAAAAACTCAAATAGCTAGAGTTTAGATATTAAGCACGAAGCATCTTCTAGTGAGTGTCTACAAAGTTTGTTCAAATAAAAGCCCTGGGGTCAAAATTGGCCCGCCCCGGGGGACATTGACTTTCCTTATATGTGTATAGCAAAACTTAAAAGTCTTCTTTGAAAAAAACCAAATAGCTAGAGTTTAGATTCTAAGCATGAAACATCTTCTAGTGAGTGTCTACCAAGTTTGTTCAAATAAAAGCCCTGGGGTCAAAATTGGACCCGCCCCGGGGGTCATTCATTTTTCTTATATACATGTGTATAACAAAAACTTAAAAAATCTTCTTTGAAAAAACTCAAATAGCTAGAGTTTAGATATTAAGCACGAAGCATCTTCTAGTGAGTGTCTACAAAGTTTGTTCAAATGAAAACCCTGGGGTCAAAATTGGCCCGCCCCAGGGGACATTGACTTTCCTTATATGTGTATAGCAAAAACTTAAACTTCTTTGAAAAAACCTGAATAGCTACAGTTTAGATATTAAGCATGAAACATTTTCTAGTAAGTGTCTACAAAGATTGTTCAAATAAAAGCCCTTGGGTCAAAATTGGCCCTGCCCCAGGTGTGTCATTGTTTTTAACTATATGTGTAAAGAAAAAACTTGACCAGCTAGACCTTAGATGTTTAGCATGAAACATCTCCTAATGGGTGTCTACCAAGTTTGTTCAAATAACAGCCCTGGGGTTTAAACTGGCCCCACTCCGGGGCCTATATACAGGTGAGCGACTTTTGTCTTTGTTTTTGATTTTTTTTCTTGTCCTCCATCGATTATATTTTTTACATTTCAATGATGTTTTAGTATCCTCCGTAAATGTTACTAGTACAATGTTTTCGAATTATTGTTTTATTGTCCTCTGTCGATGTTTCTAATTGATGTTTTCAAATTATTTATTTTATTGTCCTCCGTCAATGTTACGTTGTTTTCAAATTACAATGTACATGTATGTGTTAATTTCCTTTGTCGATTTTACTAGTATTTTTATTCTAATTTTGCGGCAGATGGCGATTTCTTTAGTTCAGACCATCATCTTATACCGGTTACGGATTTTAGGATATATGTATTATTTTTCTCTACGATGAATGGGGACAAAGTTACTTTTCATGCAAATACCTAATATCAAAACATTGCCGTCTTTGAGTTTAGAGTTAGTGATCCATTTTACGCTGTGGGCTCTTTTAATATAATCAAGCATATTTGCTTAACAGTAAATGCCTTATTGTATTGGACCATTTTATTACAAGATACAATGTACTTACTTACTGTGGCCTATACAGCTTGTCCATTAGTCAGGCAGAAGTATAGAGTGTGGTCAGACGTCACGGATTTACAAACGTCCCCGTCTCTTTACTGGTGTCAAAGACTGATCGATTTTGGTCCCAGCAGTCAAGGAATTAAAATGAACCGCTGCACTGATAGTCTGTTATCTTTAACTTTAACACACTTGTTCACCCCATAGCTCTGTGTGCGAAATGTGTTTTCGATAAAAAAACAACATATCTCTTCTTTTCTTTCAGACGACGACAAAGAAGCGGTGGATTTAAAAAACAAAATCCGGGTCCTTTGTTGGGTAATGACCAGTCCACAAAACTTACAGAAGAAAGCTATTCACGTCAGGAATACTTGGGCTCATCGGTGTAACAAACTTATTTTCATCAGTTCCGAAACAAACACAAGTTTTCCCACTGTAGGTATTGATGTCCCAGAAGGAAGAGATCATTTGACTGGTAAAACGATGAAAGCGTTTAGATTCATTTTTGAGAATCATTTCGATGAGGCAGACTGGTTTATGAAAGCAGACGATGATACCTACGTCATTTTAGAAAATTTACGTTACTTCCTTTCTAGTCAAAATAAAGACGACCCAATTTATTTTGGACATCATTTTAAAACTATTGTGAAGCAAGGTTACTTTAGTGGGGGTGCGGGATATGTTCTTAGCAAAGAGGCAATGCGGCGATTTGGCGCGCGCGGGAACGATTCAAAATTATGTCGCCAAGATGGCGGCGCAGAAGATGCTGAATTCGGCAAATGTATGCAAAATTTAGGAGTGAAAGTTGGGAATTCCACAGATAAACTTGGAAGAAGTAGATTTCATTGTTTTGACCCGGAAACCCATTTACGAGGAGGGTATCCTGACTGGTACTATAAATATGATGCTCATGGTGCTAAAAAGGTACCAAGTTTATTGATATTTCGCTCACCAGAGCACAAAGTGCTTAAGGTGAGCCATTGTGATAGCTCAATGTTCGTCCTCAGTCTTTAACATTTTGATTTGTACAACAATTTCTCGTATACATACAGCTTGGCCAATAGTGATGAAACTATACAGGATGATTCTTGGGAGGTCCTCCATAAAACTTGCTCAAATGGTTACGGTCGGCTGAACAAGATGGCCACCCAAGTTGAAAAAAGAAAAAAAACTTAAAACAACATCTTCTCCTAAACCACTTGGTTAATTCGGGTACACTTGTACAGCAACGATCATTAAGCATTTCATTACAAAAAAATGCCAAGATTCTTTCGGTCTGTTGAACAAAATGGTCACAAGAGCTAAAAACAGAAATACACTTTTCATTTGATCTTCTCTTCAGTAGCATGTTAGATCTAAAGAGATGATCCTTATGGTTACCTTGAGTGGAAATAAAAAGATATATCTGCCGTACACTAAAATTGCCAAAATTGATCTGTTGTTTTCTAAATAACATGGCCGACAGAGCCACACATTTAAACAACATCTCCTCTTCAACCACTTGGTAGATTTAGATGAAACTATACATCAATGATCATTAGGTAGATCCTTTACAAACATTGCTCAATTTTTTTTCCGGTCATTTGAACAAGGAATATCTTGGTAATGCAATCTTATCCATGTAGACGATATTCTTAGTTGAGCGATTTAGGGCCATCATGGTCCTCTTGTTATTTTATTTGTAGTGATTGGTAACAATGCTCACATACTGTACCATAGGTTTTAAGTTAATTTCGGTAAAATGTAAAACTTATGAGGTAGATCTAGTGTAACGTTAAAAGTCATGAAAAGTCACTTAGACCATTTAGACTACCTTAAAGATATGACATGCCGCTGTGATCTTCAACGCACAACGGAGAAGAAATTTTCTCGTGCATTTGTCTTGTAAACTAACTATACAACGAATCTGTTTGATCATCAAAATTGATCATCTTGAATGCAAATAGTGACAAGTACATGTAGTTAAATAACAAACCGAACGAAATCTGTATTAATGGAAGTTTTTTTTATCGTTTTAATTCTTTTATGCATAAAATACTTTACCTTTGTATCTCTTTTATGGAGTATTGATCTTTTTTCTATGTTTCTTGAAAATATGTATTTATATATTTATCAATTTTAATAGACAATCCTTTTATATTTCAGGGGAAAGAAAGTATAAGCGATTACGCAATCTCATTTCATTATGTTCCGCCAGCAAAAATGTACGGCCTCGAATTTTATGTATATCATCTTCGACCATACGGAATAAATTCCGGACACCAGGATTTAAACCAGGACATATCATAGCGCTTTTAAACATGTGATAATTTATTTGTAATAAATCCACAATATTTTACATTATTATACTATCTACCTTACATAAATGTGTTCCCTCTAAAGTTATACATTATAAATGAGCAGTGGGCATTTGAATGGTGTAATATTAAAGATGACGTCAGCGGTCCGAAAGTGACCGCCTTCGACAGCTAAACTGTTGTTTTATTTCACATTTTACGTGCATTTTACAATAATAAATTTTACTTGGAATTTTTAGCTCGACTTTTTTGAAGAAAAATTTCGAGCTCTTGCTACAGTGATGAAGTCGATCCTGCTGCCGTTGCCTTTGGCCATTTTAAGCTCACCTGAGCGCAAGATACTCATGGTGAGCTATTATGATCCCCCGTCGTCCGTCGCCGTGTGTCGTCAACAATTTCTTTAAACAACATCTTTTCTGAAACCAATGTTTGTCTAGTAACCAAACTTTACAGGAATGATCCTTAGGTAGTCCCCTTTTAGATTTGTTCAAATGGTCGTGCTCTGATGCATAAGTAGGTCACCGGGCCAGAAAAGGAGTTTCATGAATACAAATTAAAACAAAAATCTTCTTGTCTGAAAGTACAAGAAACAGAACTTCAATATCTGGTAAATGATATCATTTGCAGGTCTTCTACCAAAGCTATTTAAATTTGGCCCTACTGTCAAAATTGGTCAAATCCCGGGGGCCATAGGATTTCCTATTATGTATAATGTAAAAATTTAAAAATCTTCTTTGAATTTACGAAGGCTAAAGGTTAGATTTTTGCATGAAACATTGTGTAGTGGACCTCTACTAAGATTGTTCACATCATAGCCCTGGGCCAAAATTGGCTCCGCCCCAGTGGATCATTGATTTTCATTATGTAAATATCGTAAAATCTTAAAAGACCCTATTGTCTGAAGGTGCAAGGCTTAGAGCTTTAATATTTGGTATATAATATCATCTGTAGGTCATCTACAAAAGTTGTTCAAATTTTGCCCCTAGTGTCAAAATTTGGACATAGGTTCTCCTTATATGTATATAATAAAAACTTTAAAAAAAAATTCTGAATTGACGAAGGCTAAAGGTTAGAATTTTTTGAATGAAACATTATGAAGTGGAACTCTACCAAGATTGTTGTAATTATAGTCTTGGTGCCAAAATTGGCCCCGCCCCGGGGGTCACTGGTTATCATTATGTATATATAGTAAAACTTTTAAAAAGCTTAGAGCTTTAATATTTTTTATTTGATAGATCAGCTATATATCATCTATCAAAGTTGTTCAAAATTTGCCTCTAGCGTCAAAGGGGCCACTGTGACCTACTGTCTTGTTCTTAGATATACATCTATGGAATTTAGACCTTGTGCACATTTTGAGATGTAAAATTGAACAAAAGTATGACATCACCATGTGCACAGTTTCAGGTGTTGAATATCAAATGACCTAAATATTGACCTAGTGACACATTTTCCTTATATACAGCTTTGAAATAACGACTATGTATATAGTATAATTAAAATTTATATTTTGCATGAAGTATAGTCTAGTTAAAAACATCGTTCAAATTCTTGTAATAAATATTAGCTTTCACTACTTTTACACAAATAAGTTTGTCCTCAGGTGAGCGCTTTTGGGCCAATGGTCGCCTTGTTTTTAGTTTTGGAACTTGGAAACAACAAACCTTTGGACAAAATCTTCAAGTAGACCAGACAAAACTTAACCTTGACTGATAAATGACCTTGACCCACAAGGCCAAGGCCTTCAGTTTGCTATAATTGGCTACAACTTAATGAATGGATATGAATTGTCTTCATACTAAGAAACAATAATCCTTTTGACAAAACCGTCAAGTAGTCCAAATTGATTATGACCTTCACTCATCAATGACCTTGACTTTAAAGGCCAAATTAATTACATTTGCTTAATTTTTGCTATAATTTGCTCTAACTTCGTTATTTTCGAATACATTGCCTTCATACTTGAGCACAACTACCTGGGGGACAATGTCTTAAAACAATTGAAATTGAAAAACCATTTAGACTACCAGAGACAACTTAAATGTTAATGCCATGATACTGTGATATTCAACAGAGAAAATATTTTCTTGAGCATTTGTATTGTCAACTAACTTTATGAATCTATAATGTCATAGAAATTATCATTTAGAATCTAAATAATAACTTGTATTTAAATGAAAAACCGAGATGGAACTGTATGAAGTTTGGTTGTCTGGTTTTGTCACAACTCGGTAATTTATGTACAGATTAGATGCATATTTGAACAAAGCAACGCTTATGACGACACCCATATGTTGAATAATTCAAATATGACCTTGATCTGTTATTGACCTTGACTATCAAATTTTAACATCAAAATGATGTTTTCTTAGAGAATTCTGTACAACAATATCCTCGAGCGTGATTTTTGTGATATTTGTTTTCCTTAAGTTAGTAGAATTCACAAAATTAGCAATTTGGATGCCCAATAAAGTTTCATAATAGCCTTCATTACAAGAATCATCTAAGGTCCATTATGCCACAGAAATGCTATCAATCATTTTCATTTCTCAAACACTTTAATTTTGGTTCATTGTTCCAGTTGAAAAAGCAAATACTCATTTGCGACATAGAAGAACTATATATCTTTTGCTTTCTTTGCTTGCAATTGGTAAAATTTTAGTGAATTAGAATTTTGTATTGAAGTCAAAATACTATTTTGTTTACATTTTGCTACCTATATATGACACGTTACTTCCATTTCAGCGCTACTTTCTTCAGTTGTTAAATATATTTCATACTCAATTATTAAATCATCATTAACACATGTTTTGACATTTCTTAACAATTAGGATAATATAGATTTCTGAGGCATAATGTGCCTTTAAAATATGAACATTATGTCATACGCCGACTACAAAATATTGCGCACTCATTGGTCGTTACATATTTATGGCGTCAAGTAGAGACCAAATATATCCTATATTGGGGTACAATGTATCATTATATTCATTATTATTGGGCAAGAAAAAACGTTGAAAAAACTGCCACTAGAATCGTCGATACATAGACTGTCCTAGCTAATTTGCTGAGGAAGGTGGTCAGGGGGATATAATTGTTACACATTTACAGTAACTGATCTGATATGGGATATATGGATCTGTAGAAAACCATATTGGAGCTAGACCTAAACTCCGTTATCCGGTCGTTAACTAAACTGTATGTTACATTCCGGATGGCGTTTAAATTCTAGTCATATTGAATGTTCTTCCAAAATACATTTTTATTTTACACCTGTTTCAATAGACACTTATAAAAACTATATGTTTTTATTTTTACTAAATTATAAAAGTCGTCATTTACCATTAAAATGTGAATACCTTTTTGGGATAGTTGTTAGACATATTACTTATTCTTTAGCTCAGCGGATTATGGGTTCAAAATTACATGTAGTTTTGTTTGCTTCCAACGAAAATTGTTCAATAGTTGCTTTAGATATATGCATTTTGTATAAATAGAGATGTGAAATAAAAATTAAAGTATTTTAAGATGACTTTATTTATCTATATACTATCGTATATACCTTGTTACAGTAAAACCCTCACAATCAGCCGTTTTCCCCTACCTTACTACATCCTAAAACAAGAGGGCTAGATAGACTCTACCCCCAACCGGCCCGAGGCAGGCTCTTTACGAAGCGTGCACACGGCAGGTCAATGTCACTCATCCTTAGTACAAAGGACGATTGGCTGACCTGTCATGACTCAATGGGACGGTAGTTCTTCAAAGAGTCATTTTACTAAATGAAATGAGTTGTCGACGCATCCTACAAAAACGAACTACGAGATGGTATAGAAAGTCCAGTTGCCGATGGTGAGAGTATAAAATTCAGACCAAAAATGTCCAGATATTAATTTAGGCGACCAGTATAATAAACCTAACTACAAGAAAAGATGTGCCATCGCTTTGCAGAACAAATGCAGACCGACCCTGTCTATACTTCACAATATATTGTTGTCGTTGTATTTTTTAACATTTTTATGTTACTGTGAAACAGATATTAAAAGTACTGAACATGCAGCCAGTGTAGCCACTTGAAGCTAAAATCATACACGACTGATTAATATGACTTTAAAGGTCATGGACATTCATGAGTGAAGGTCAAGTTAAGTCTGGTCAACTTGAAAGTCTTGTCTAAAGTATTCTGTTCATTGTATATTGCATATATTGTATTGAATTATATTTTATCGTAGTAAAAACTTCTCAATAATTTTCTTGTAAAAATATATATTTTATATTTGACCTTGACCGACAAGGTCATTCAAAAGCCGATGACTCATTTGAATTAATCATCATGTCAGGTTTGTCAAAAATGTTCTTTTTTTTTCAAGAATAAACCAAGGCAAACCTTAAATAAATAATAAAGTTATGACAATCAAATTTCTAAAATTTGACCTTGACCACCAAAGTCAATTAAAGGTAAACATCATCTCAGAATAATTTTATCTTTCTGTTTTGTCATATGCTCTCTTTTGTCCAAGTATGACGCTGTAAAAATGTTATGACGATTTAAGCCAATTTCAAACTGGGCATAACTCAAAAACATTACTTTTATGTTATTATGCCCCTTGTCAAGGTTAGCAAGTATTCCAAGGTTCATGATATCCTTGAATAATGGGCTACACAAAAGTTTTTTTAAGACGAAAGGGGCATTACTTTGCAAAATATACCTTTCAGACTTTTTGCCCCTGTGATATCACATCAAATGATGATAATGAACAAGTACACCAAGTTTAAAGCGCATACCTAAGGCAGTTTCTGAGAAAATTGACATTAACCTATTATCTATAATAGGTCATGGTTATCTTGACCTTTTGACCTCAAAATCTGTTTGACAAAATATTGCAAGAATATCAAACTTGAGAAAACTAAAACAACAACAACAAAAAAACTCAAAGAAACAAAAAAAAAAAACATCAAAAACATTCAAGTAATAACCTACATGTTGTATGGGATTATTGACTGATTTGCTGTATCTATAACCATATTTCTACTGTGTGACTATGGGGTTCATTGGTCATTTTTGTAACATTTTACCTAATTATAGTAATATACTTGGATTGCACGTGGTATTTGCAATGCATAAATGACTTTCTTTGTTCATTCAACGACAGTATATAACTTTTTTCCTTATTCATTAAAATTAACATGACACTGCATGGAGTCATGCTGCTTTAGGTAGCACCCCGCAGTAAATTTCAAGTTCCTGCTGCCAATGTCCTACGCCTTGCAGATATTTTGCTACTGCTTAAAGTTTGAACCCACTATAAAATGATTTGTTTTCAAATAAGCATGCTGTTTAAAAGCAATGTTTGTCTTTAAATCTATAATCAACACCTAGCAAATTAAAAGTTTCAAAGTTTAAAGGCGTGTACCTCAATGAAGACCTTACACATACACGTAGCCTGTTGTTTCAACAGACTCGCAAATTAGTCAAAGACAATATTGTGAGCGGAACATGGACGGTAGACGGTGTAATTATGATTAAAGACAAGTCTGACAACAAAGCCCGCATCGAAACAAAGAAAGACTTAGACTCTTTCCTGTCAAAGTTATAATGTTGACGGCTTAACAGTGTAAAATATAGTATGTCACGTTGTGTTTGATCTGTTTTGTTTTGATCACCCTGTGTGTTTGTAATACCGATCATTTAACGGTTTTATAACAGTAAGTCAAATATTTCACAAACTGACCGTTACGAATATACCAGCTTATTATTTTCTTTCGTTTTAAAGAAGGCCTTAGAATCCTTATTCAACTAGATTATAGACTATTTTTCTCTCGTAATTCTATATACGTGTAGTTTTATTTTAAGACATGTTTTCTTCATACAGTGAATATCTCATTTAATAAAATGTCACGGGAAATATAATAACAATAACCTTGAAGCATATTTCAAGTAAAAACGATATTTATTCAGTAAAACTATTGATTGTACAATTATAATAGACGGTACGCTGACGATTATATAAGGGACACAACCAATTGCTTACTCTATATTTTTGTTATCAGGATTGATTCCCTTGACTTGTCCTGTTTACGAAGTTTCCGACGTACCTAGTTAAAAGTTCCTTGTTACATATACATGTGTATGTATATATATATATATATAGAGAGAGATATATATAGATATATATATATATATATGTGTGTATATATATGTGTGTTTATATGTATATATGAATGTGTATGTGTATATATATCATGAAAATATAACACATGGAAAGAATCAAACATATAATCGAGTTTCATAAACTTGTAAAATCCCTGTTGTTGTTTTTGTCTGTTTTTTTTCGTTGGTTTCTTTATAAGTATCTGTTGTTGTTGTTTATTTTCAGTAAAAAAGTATGGACTTGTCTTTCCATACCTGTCATATGATTATGTAATTGATAACAATTATCTTATTTAATTTTAACTGTTTTTCGTGTTTTGTCTGTTTTTCTATATTGATTTTTTTGTTGTTGTTTCTTTCTGTACCACCTTAAAACTGAACCGCTCGTTTTGTAAGTGATCTTATCCTGTCTCGTGCTTTATTTGTTTGTTTTATTCTTTTCTTTTTTTTTCTGTACCGCTTTAATATTGAACCATTATTTTTGTAAATGATCAAATAATCTTATCTACATGCTAAGCCATGCAAAATTGGCGCCAAAAACTCATAAATTACTGTGCCAGGTAATAATTTTCTTCTACAAACATCCTCGATTCTGAATTTAATTATTTTGAACTGAATACTACATTATGGATGATAAAGTTTTATTAGTCTTTACCATGTTGTTTAACTTGTTATTTCTTGTTTTGAAAATGGACTTATAATTGCAAAATTTTATACAAAATTTTCAGACTTTTCATATTTATTGAACTGATAAATATTGTCTTTTGTTTAAATTAAAAGTAATAATGCACCAGTCATTTTTGGTAAAGAATTCAGTTGCATAAAATACTAAGTATTTACATCTTTTTTAAATTCAAATTTAACAAGATACAAAACATTTTTTTTAAAAAAAACCAAAAGAGCCATACTCAACTTAATTACCTGTAATTATTTTGTTTACATGTATATGATTTTCTTTGTAAATAATGCCAATTGTTTGTCTTTATGTACTTGTCATACTTTGTAAATGTTAGCAATTGTCCCTTTTTGTGTCATCATGCATTTTGCTACTGACTTAATATAAAGTTTATAGGAAACATTTTTATTTATCGGCACTAAAGATACAATTCTCTATAACTTTCAAGACACATTTCCGTAGTAATCTTAATCATTAACGCTGCACCAACACTCTTATTATGACTACCATTGATTCATTTTTTATTCATTTTTTTATAAGTTTCATTTTTAATGTACCTGCACACGGTATTTTCGTGGAGGATGTGACACATAAAACATATATATCCTCAGTTCTGTCTCTGATAACTTACTTATTAAATATTGTTAGATACCATCCCCCATGATATCGTTTATGCATGCAAATAAGACAGTGTCACAGACAGAACTTGGAAGCAATGACAAATACACATTGGAAATCATCACCCTTTTTTACTCTGTACTTATACTTCCTCAATGGCTATCAATAATATTACTTTGTGCTGGAGACATTCATCCTAATCCTGGTCCATCTGTTGAAAGCAACTCTAGCACCGACTCATCTTTTGCATCTTCTACTTCTGAGCTTATAAATAGTGGGTTAAGTATTATGTGTTTAAATATTCAGAGTCTTAGACCTAAGCTTGATATACTTGAACTCGAAACACAGCCATATGATATTCTTGTTTTTACTGAAACCTGGCTGCGTCCTGAAGTGCATAACAATGACATTGAAATACCAAACTTCCAATGCCCGGTTCGTTGCGACAGAACAGACAGAGTCGGTGGTGGAGTAGCGATCTATGTCAGAGAGGGCTTAAGATTTCATACAAGATCTGATTTATCTGTTCATGGTATCGAATGTGTATGGGTGGAACTTGATATAAACAGTCGTAAACTTCTTCTAGGTGGTATTTATAGACCCCCAGACTCAAACAATCAGCATTGGCTTCTTCTTGAACAGTGTATAGATCAAGCATTTTCCGAGAGATCCGACAATATCCTGATTGCTGGCGATTTCAACATAAATCTTCTAAATTCTAATTCAAACAAATTGTCTAATCTTATAGCCTCTTACAACGCAGAGCAACTTATTACTACACCAACCCACTTTACAGAAAGCTCTTGCTCATTACTCGATGTAATGTTCGTAAAGAACACAAATCATATCTTAACAAGCTTTGTTGCAGACCCATTCATTCCAGATGTTATTCGTTTTCATTGTCCAATCGTAACAGTAATGAAATTTTTCGAAACCAAAAGGTACCACATACAAACGCAAAATATGGCTTTATGACAGGGGTGATTACTCTGGCTACAGAAATGAAATTAACTCAACAGACTGGCAATCCATAATAAACACTGACAATGATATAGATGAAACAGTCAACCGAATAACTAGTACCATATTAAATGCCGCAGACAACAATATTCCTAATAAAATAGTAACAATAAGACCACATGATATTCCATGGATGACTAATAAAATACGTAAACTTATAAGAAAACGCAAAAGGGCCCACAAAAAAGCAAAACAGATGAATACAGAGTTATCTTGGCAACTATTTAGAACAATCAGAAATGCGGTTACAAAACAAATAAGAAAAAGTAAAAATGAATATAAACATAAATTAATTGAACAAATAAACTCATCAAATACTTCAACGAAAAACTGGTTTAAACTAACAAAATCTTTCACACAAAAACAATCAAAACCAGCAATCCCAGTCCTCCTTGATAACGGGATTACTGCAAATACTGACAAAGAGAAGGTAGAACTACTAAATAATTTCTTTTGTACACAATCAAACATTGACAGTCAAAACACACAACTCCCAAATCTGAATTTGCATACAAACTCATCTCTTCCCCAAATTACAATTACAGAAGAAGATGTCACATATGCTATCTCGTTAACCGACCCGTCGAAAGCATGTGGCCCAGATCTTATTCATCCCCGATTACTAAGAGAAGGATCTACTGTTCTGTCTAAACCTTTGGCTGACTTTTTCAACATATTACTTTCAAAATGTACCTTTCCTACCTCCTGGAAAATAGCTAATGTCACTGCTATATTTAAAAAGAATGACCCATCTAAGCCTTCGAACTACCGACCCATTTCTCTTTTAAGCTGTATAGGTAAACTAATGGAGAGGTGTATTCACAAATACTTGTACAACTATATTATTGCCAACAACCTCCTCACGTCTTATCAATCCGGTTTCATCAAAGGTGACTCCACCGTTAATCAAATTACATATATATATAACGATATTTGCAAGGCTCTTGACGAAGGCTTGGAGGTTCGCGCTGTGTTTTGCGATATCTCTAAAGCATTCGACCGAGTATGGCATCAAGGTCTCTTACATAAGCTTACCTCTATTGGAATAAACGGCTCCCTTCTTAACTGGTTCACTTCCTATCTTTCTGATCGCAAACAACGCGTTGTATACGCTAATTGTTCTTCTAACTGGTCATCAATTAATGCCGGCGTCCCCCAGGGCTCTATTCTCGGACCTCTGCTTTTCTTGATATATATAAACGATATTGTTGACGATGTAAATTCGAGCATACGACTTTTTGCAGACGACACGAGCCTTTATATCATTGTAGAGAATCCCATAGATGCAGCAAAGCATTTAAATGACGACCTTCAAAAAATTCATGAATGGTCAAAGGCTTGGCTGGTTACTTTTAATCCGTCCAAAACAGAATCCATGATATTTTCAAGAAAAATAAAACAAGTAAACCATCCCCCAATCCAAATGAATGGAATTCCCATCAAACGTGTACAAAATCACACACATCTTGGTGTTACCCTTTCTGAAAATGTTAAATGGGATACTCATATATCCATAATACTGCGAAAAGCTTGGCAGAGAGTAGGCATCATGAGATCACTGAAATTTCTCCTTAATCGTTCAAGCTTGGAAAGAATGTATATGTCTTTTATCCGCCCTATCCTTGAGTATGCCGATGTTACATGGGATAACTCCTCGAACATGTTAAAAAATGAAATTGAAGCAGTTCAAAACGAGGCAGCAAGAATAGTAACAGGTGCTACAAAATTATGCAATATTAGTAAATTACTTAACGACCTCAAATGGGATACCCTGGCCGAAAGGCGTAAACAACATAAACTAGTTTTATTCTTTAGAATGTACAATGGAATTACTCCAAACTATCTCTCTGACCTGATACCCCAACACAACGAGTCCTACAACCTCAGAAATCACAGACAAGTAAACTCAAGGACACAAATATATAGCTCATCATTTCTTCCTTCTGCAATAAGAGAATGGAACTTACTACCTGTAGATACAAGAAACTCATCTTCTGTTGCTGCCTTTAAACGGTGTCTTAATAAAAACAAAACAAAAGCCTCCCCTTTATTTAATGTAGGAAGTCGTATAGGCCAAATATTGCACGCACGTCTTCGTTTAGATTGTAGCTCCCTGAACTTTGACCTTCATAGAAAGTCTATTGTCCAGTCTCCATTATGTTTATGTGGCGAAATAGAGACCGTGCATCACTTTTTCTTTTCATGTCCTCGTTATGATATCATCAGAAGCATGTATTTATGCCCCCTACCATGTCCCTTGACACTTAACAATCTCCTGTACGGAGACGAGCGCGTGAGCTTTAACACGAACGAAAAAATCATTCTTAAAGTACAACAGTTTATCCTAGCTTCCAAACGTTTTACTAACTAATATCAACTTTTTTCTTTCTGTCCATCACTTCCCGATTATATTGTGTGCAGACATATATTCTCTATTCTTTACCTAAATTCAAAACTTTATTTAAATATTTTATTCTCTTTTTTCTCGAAACATTCTAAATATAATCATTTGAAAAAACTAACTTAAATCGAATACTAGTTAAAAACAATATTTTACTTTGTAACAGAAATTGTTTGGAGTAATTTCCCAATATGAAACAATCTTGAAACAGAAGTTTTCTTATTCTGCTACTCTAGATAATATTGTTCTAACAAATTTATTCATTTTAATTATTTATATGATTACTCTTTTCTGTATTATTCTAACCAAATATGTGCATATTTTATATTGCAAGTACATTATGTGTGGAAAGGAATTTACATAAGTCACATTTGACTTGTTTTCCAATCCACGAAATATATCAGTGTGTTTAAATATGCTTACTGTACATATATATGTTGTAAAAATAGAAATAAAATATTGTTTAAACTAACACCTAGCATGTGATTTCTGGCCATGTTTTCGAATTTGCCAGTGATCATAATTTAAATAATGTCACAAACACAAATTTCATGCTTAAATTGCACTTTTAAAAACAACCAGTCATTAAAATCCAGACTAGTCACTATTTTCATAAAAATCCTCAAGGCCATTTGAACCTGTAGCTTCTATTACTGTGAAATTTGTGAAGTTCTACCTTAGGTATGACCTCTAATGCCATTGTATACTCCCTAATGCATTACTTCCGCTTTGAAGAGTATTCAAATATCGGACAATCGCAACTACTCGGCCCTTTCCGTCAGTCTTCGGATAAGGACCTCGAACACAATAGTATGAATACACAGAACGGATGCGGTTTTTCGGTCTAACCTACGCTAAGAAACTAAACATGTATACAAATAGTAAATTAATGCTGGGAGTTGTTGACAAGTTTATTTCCAACATATGTAGTAAAAGTCCACCTTAAGTAAGTGAATTCATAGGTACAAAAGCAAACAATACATTATTTATATATTTATTATTATGGTTGTATAAACCGAAAGAACAAAAAAATAAACCGAAAGTACAAAAAACCAACCTGTTGACATTTAGTTGGATTTGTTTAAAATTGAACATCAGTGGGCATATAAGACATATTTTCAAGCAAAAGAGTACCGGAACAGATATTAGATGTCAAATATATACAATCGTTTTATGAACTTGTCAACAACTCCCAGCATTAAATTACTATTTGTTTACATGTTTAGTGTCTTAGCGTAGGTTAGACCGAAATACCGCATTCATACTATTGTGTTCGAGGTCCTTATCCGAAGTCTGACGAAAAGGGCCGATTAGTTGCGATTGTCGGAACATCTTGGTTATTTTAAAAGACTGACGGAAAGAGCCGAAAAGTTGCGATTGGGACCGTCGAAGACCGGAGACTGTCGATACGTAAGGCCCGATTTCCGGTTAACTTCCGCGTAAATGATTTCATCGATCAAGATAATAAATATTTCACCATCAAATAACATGTTAAGGTAAGTAACAAAATATAATATATGCAAACTATTCCATAATTATGAACAGAAATAAGTGTTATTTAATTATAGATGTCATTGTATTATTGAAATAAAAAACATTCCCGAAGTAATTTTAGTAGTGGGTGGGGTAATTAATAGGTGTTTCACATATTAAATTAGTTCTGTCTTTCTAGCTTTGTTCTCATTTTGTGTGTGTGTAGGGGGGAGGGGGGGGGGGGGGGGGGCATCAATGACTGACTGGTTGAAGTCATTTACTTCCTCACTGCTATGAGTTCAAATCGCTACAGGTTCTTTGGGTTATTTCATGTTATCAAAACTTTTGCTTTGTGCTTCATAAAGTCTAAAATGATGTGTAATTGCCTAAGATCATTTAGTGTTTATAATGTAATGTTATTGCTTGCAGGTAGGCAAGAAAGTACTAACTTGGGAACAAAATGATACAGTGCCTGCAAAGATATGGAACAGCTTTAAGGAATGTTTTAAGGTGCCATATCTAAGAATATCCAAATACATATACTGAAAGCAATATTTTCATAGAGAAGAAAAGACATTTTGCATTAAGCTTATTTTGCAAAATCTATTGTTATTCATGATCTTTAACTTTAACATGACTGCTCCTATACTCCTATTGGCCATAACGATTTTAAAATGTGATATTTGCATTTTTTTAAAATAAATATTCATATCAGACATTTAACAATACATACTTGTGGAAGAGAAGAATTGTATTTTGAAAATGTGTGATAAAGCTATTTCTGAAAACGAAAACAATGAAACAACACACATGAAAGTAAATCTAGGAGAGATTTATTTCTGTAGTATGTGTGGGAACACATTTTCTCAAAAAAGTGACTTTATAATACATATGAAAGTACATACTGGAGAGAGGAAACATATTTGTAAAATATGTCTTACAATATTTGCTCAAAGAAGTGATCTAACGGCACACTTGAAAATACATGCAGAAGAGAAAAATTATATTTGTGAAATCTGTAATAAAACATTTTCATGTCTAGATAAAGTTGCAACTCACATGAAAATTCATACAAGAGTGAAAAAATTTTGTTGCAAAATCTGTGCAAAAGCATTTATTCAACGAGGTGATCTTAATAAACACATGGCAGTACATACAGGAGAAAAGAATCACTGTTGTGATGTCTGTGGAAATGTGTTTTCTGAAAGAAGTAGTCTTAGAAGACACATGAGAATACATACAGGAGAGAAAAAACACAGTTGTGAAGTCTGCGGTAAAAAGTTTGCCCATAACTTCAGTCTTGCCATACACGTGAAATACCATAAGGGCCAGAAGGACCATTACTGTGAGACTTGTGGAAAAGGGTTTACTCTAAAAGATCAACTTGCAGAACATACGACAATACACACAGGAGAGAAGAACTTTCGTTGTGAAATATGTGATAGATCATATTCTCGAAAACGATATCTTCAGAAACATATTAAGTGGCATTCAGGACCGAAGGTATATTGTTGTGAAATCTGTAACAAAGGGTTTCCCCAAAAAGACTATCTTTCCCAACATATGACAATACATACAAATGAGAAGAACTTTTGTTGTGAAATTTGTAACAAAGCTTTTACTGTAAGAAGTTATCTTAATAGACATAAAAAGATACATACAAGAGAGGAAAGTTATCGTTCAAAAGAGTTATCGAAAGAGTAGTTTGAAATGACCATCATTTGAGAAAAACACAATTTTGGTGAGAAAATCTGAAGGTTTGAAATCTGTGATGCTTTATTTACTGAAGGAATTTATTATAAGAAATACATGGCAGCTTAATCACAGAGAAAAACTTCAGTTGAGAAATCTGCAATAAACAGTTGTTCCCCTCAAAAAAGTTCCCCTCAAAAAAGATTTTATAAGACATTATGAAAATATAAAAGGAGGTTATGAAATCTGCAGTTAGGCGTTTTCCCAATTGAACATATTGAAATCACAATACACTGCAACAGCGTTATAATGCTCATGTAAGGGCTTCCAAGGGCTCAGTACCGCATTATAACGAAGTTCTGATATATAACGCCCATGGCGAAATTACAGCATTACCCAACCCTTGCCTATACATATATAACGCAAATTATTGTTTTTAGCTTGTTTTGTACATGTTACAAAAGAGTCAGAGGAGGTTTACATGTGAAATATGTAATGAAGACACTTATCTAAATGGTTGTCTATACAAACATATGACAGATTGTTGAATAGGCACTTGACATTTTTTCACACTTATGAATTAATAATGCAGATACAGTGTACATGTATATCGAGAATACAGTGTAGTTTGTAAATACATTGAAGAATAAAATGTGACGAGGAAAGTCATAAATGGTTCTTTTTATCAGAAGAGTAAAAGTGTTAATATCTTGTATAAACTACCGACATCTATTTTAAGCTCGTCGGTTACAAAGAAAAAGTCAAGCTATCACGATCGCTGGAACTCTGCTATTGTAATACATGTATTTTCTTTTCATGTTAAAATTTTGTTGTAGTCTATTATTCACACATTTTAAAGCTGCATGCCTCTATATGAACTTAAATTTTTTAAGAAAATTAAACTTGAAAAACATGTACTACGATTTTAAGATAAGTAAAAAAGATTTTAGATTCGGATAATAATTTAAATTAAATGTTGTTAAGAACTGATTTTGCAGTATTTATTACCATATTTTTACTTTGTTACTAATATAGTAAGGGCTATTTTTGCTTATGTTGACCTCTTTGTGGTAATTTACGTGGATTGCAAGTGCTGTTTTGCAATGTGTTAAATATTTTCTTCGTACACTTCTGAATATTTACTTTTATTTTTTAAGTTTTCATGTAAATTAGCATGAATCTTGAGTCATTGAACGATACAGGTTAATTCCGATGGATAGTTACAGAATTTCCCTTAATTCTCAGTTAATAATAAAATTGAATGGAATGAATGCAAAATATAAACTTATTTTGACTTTCACATCTTTACTCAATGTATACCCTTGGATGGGCATAATGTCACTTACGTATTGCATTTATAAATATAATTATACAGTGGTCATATCTGGGTTAAACGTGAGTGAACTAATCAAGTTGAAAGCTTTATAAACAGACAGAGAGGCTGAAAACGGCACATGACAATATTAGATACTTTATTGATAATTATTTCTTTTTATCATTAAAAAATCCCTAGGGAATTTTGTTACAATGACTTGCATGGGAAACAACAAAGCTTTAACCTTAGATACTTGGCATGTAACATAACTCATTACCCCTATAAACTTATATAAATCATGACATTAGTGTCGAATTTCCGACCTTGTGGTGAATGGCCATTTGTATATATACTTTTTATTTGAAAAACTCATTTACATATAATTGTGTCTAGAGCATAGGCATTTGGCATGCAACATTGCCTAGCTGACATCCGCTATCATATCAATATGGCCAAGAATGGTTCACTCCAAATGTGATCGAAATGGTTTGCTTCTCACTGAAGAATTGTGATCTTTCCTTCCAATGGATATCAGATGAATGATCTATCTATCTAGCCTTTCTTACTCTCTTGTTTTTACGATGTGGTAAGGTAGGGGAAAACAGCTGATTGTAAGGATTTGACTGTAACAAGGTATATATAGAGATAAATAAAGAAGTTTTAAAATAAATTAAATTTTATTTCACATATCTATTTATACAAAATGCATATATCTAAAGTCACTGCTGAACAATTATCGTTGGAATCAAATAAAAGTACATGCCATTTGAACCCGCAATCCACCTAGCTAAAGAATAAGGAATATGTGTAACAACTATCCAACAAAAGTATTCACATTTTATTATATGATTTTAAAGGGACTCCACTGAAAAACCTAAAATTTGAATTTGTTACATACATTAAAATAGAAACATAAATTTTGCAAAAGATATATCAGAAATATACTCGGAAATAAATTGAAAATCGTAGTTTGTGCTATTCCTCGCTCGATTTGGTCGAAAAGCGTTGTAAAGCTTTTTCTAATTTCGGGTCATTTTTCACAGCTAAAAAAATTATTCAGCGAAAACGGAGTGAGCGAATGATCTGATATTTTGCACACACGTTATTCGTCTAAACCTACATTAAATAAAACATTAATCTTTCAAAAAAATCCCAGCCCCCGTCATGTCAAAAAAACTCTGTAGAGTCCCTTTAACTGACGACTTATATTTAGAAAAAATGAAAATATATGGTTTGTATTAGATTCTGTTTAAACAGGTATAGAAATAAAAAGAATGAATTTTGGAAGATCATTCAATATAACTAGAATTCATACCCCAGTCTGAATTATATTTACTGTTTTGTTACCGACCGGATAACGGAGTTTAGGTCTAGCCCCAATATGGTTTTCTACAGATCCATACATCCCGTATCAGATCAGTTACTGTAAATGTGTAACAATTATATCCCCCTGATCACCTTCTTCAGCAACTTAGCTCGGACAGTCTATGTATCGACGATTCTATTGGCAGTTTTTTTCAACGTTTTTTCTTGCCCAATAATAATGAATATAATGATACCCTAATATAGGATATATTTGGTCTTTACGTGGCGCCATACATATATGTAGCGACCAATGAGTGCGCAATTTGTTTTAGCTCATATTTTAAAGGTACATTATGCCTCTGAAATCCATATAAATTGTCAAACATGTGTTAGAGCAAGAAAGATGTTTTACAACTGAAGAAAGTAGTCATGTGTCATAAAGGTAGCGAAATGTAAACAAAATATATTATTTTGACTTCCATAGAAGAAAAAGTAATTCACTATACATGTAATTTTACAAATTGCAAGAAAGCAAAATATAGTTCATCTATGTCGCGCGTGTGCATTTGTTTTTAAACTGTACCAAAATTAAAAAAGTTTTTGAAAAACGAAAATGATAGCATTTCTGAGGCTTAATGGGCCTTTAATGATTCAAGTATATTTTGTATAATGAAACTGTTATATATTGAAGGTTAATATATAACTTTATCGGGCTATTCAAATTGCTTGTATTGTGAATTGATAATAACAATAACTTCCATACTTCAACTTAAAGATGCTTCTGTTAACGCAAGTGGCACATGCGCATATTTATCTCTGTGCATGTTGCTGAATCACTGCACAAGATAACCCCTTTATAAAAAAGGGGGAAACATCATCAAAACAAGAAAACAAGCAATTTACTTTTTGAAGAAAAATACACCACAAAAGCCACCGCCAATCGCTGACCACTCTCGATGTTTATTTCTAAAACAAAAACATCCGAGGAAGGTCACTTACAAATCAAGGTCATATTTTTGAATATTCAACATACGGGTGTCGTCAAAGTATTTGTTTTTTTTTTCAAGTAAGCGTCCAAATTGTACGTAAATTACTAAGTTATGACAATTTTAGCCAATTTCAAAACCAAACAACCAAACTTTGAATATATAGTTTCTTTTCGGTTTGTCATTTTATTACAAGCCTTTGGATTCTAGATGATCATTTATTAACATTATAGATTCATAAAGTTAGTTAACAAGCCATATGCACTAGCAGATTACTTCTGCGTTGAATATCACAGTAACAAGGCATAGCTTTAAATTAGTCTCTGGTAGTCATAATGGTATTTCAATCTTATTAAAACATTGCCCTCCATATAGTTGTGCTCAAGTATGAAGGCAATCTATTCATAAATACCAAAGTTATAGCCAATTATAGCAAAAATTAAGCAAAATTCATTAACTTAACTTGACCTCCAAGGTCGTTGATAAGTGAAGGTCATAAACAATTTGGTCTACTTGATAGTTTTGTCAAAAGGATTGTTGTTTTTAAGTATGAATATAATCCATAACCATCCATAAATAAAATGTTACAGCCAATAAATGAAGCAAAAATCAAGCAAAATTTCAAACATTTGAACTTGCAGGTCAATGTCATTTGTAAGTCAAGATAAAGTTCAGTCTGGTCTACTTAAAGATCTTGTTCAAAGGGTTATTGTTTTCAAATTTAAAGACAGTATATTTAATAGAAATAATAGAAATTTTAATACAAATAAAACAATAATGGCCAAAAGACAACGGCAACGATAAGATAACTGTAGCAAGAGCTCAAAATTTTCGAAAAGTTGAGCTAAAAGCTCAAAGTAAAATTTATTATTATTATTATAATGCACGTTTTATGAAATAAAGCAACAGTTTAGTTGTCCGAAGGCGGTCACTTTTGGAATGCTGACGTCATCTTGAATATAACATCATTCAAATGGCCACTGCATTTGGTTAACTTTAGATGGAACACATGTATGTAAGGTATAGATAGTATAATAATGTAATATTGTGGATTTATTACAAATAAATTATCACATGTTAAATGTCCTTGTTTAAATCCTGGTGTCCGGAATTTATTCCGTATGGTCGAAGATGATAAACATAGAATTCGAGGCTGTACATTTTTGCTGGCGGAACATAGTGAAATGAGATTGCGTAATCGCTTATACTTTCTCTCCCCTAAAATTTAAAATAGATGAATATATAAGAATACTTTTTTGAGAACTACAGAACAATGTTTCGTACAAACACGGCTTTAATTACAATAAAACCCATGGGAAAAGAGATTAAAAAAAGTCAAAGTTTGTTTGCATAAAAGAAAGAAAGAGAACCCAAATTATTACCAGTTTCCGTACAGTTTGTCATTAAGGTACTCAGTTCCTAGATAATGCGTATGACATTCTTAATTTCATAAAGTTATTTAAGACAGTCTAGATTCATAAAGTTATTTATGACAGTCTGGATCTATAAAGTTATTTATGGCATTCTGGAGTCATAAAGTCATTTATGACATTTTAGATTCATTAAGATATTTATGAAATTCTAGATCCATCAAGCTATTTATGACAGTCTATATTCATAAAGTTGTGTATGACATTCTAGATTCATAAAGTTATTTATAACATTCTAGATTCTAAAGGTTATTTATGACAATCTGGATTCGAAAAGTTATGTATGATATTCTAGATTCATCAAGCTATTTATGACATTCTGGATTAAAAAAGTTATTATAAATGACAGTCTAGATTCATAAAGTCATTTATGAAAGTCTAGATTAATTAAGTTATTGTAATTCCTGACATTCTAGATTCATCAAGTTATTTATGACATTCTGGATTCAAAAAGTTATTATAAATGACAGTCTAGATTCATAAAGTTATTTATGACATTCTACTTTCATGTTATTATTTATGACAGTAGATTCTATATATTCATAAAGTTATTTATGACAGTCTAGAATATGACATTTTAGATTCATTACGTTACTTATGACATAACCATATCCATTTTGAGCAAGTTTTTTTTAAGGACCGCCCAAGGATCATTCCTGTATAGTTTCATTACTATTGGCCAATCTGTATACGAGAAGTTGTTGTACAAATCAAAATGTTAAAGATTGACCACGAACATTGAGCTATCACAATGACTCACTTTAAGCACTTTGTGCTCTAGCGAGCTAAATATCAATAAACTTGATACCTTTTTAGCACCATGAGCATCATATTTATAGTACCAGTCAGGATACCCTCCTCTTAAATGGGTTTCCGGATCAAAACAATGAAATCTACTTCTTCCAAGCTTATCCGTAGAATTTCCAACTTTCACTTCTAAATTCTGCATACATTTGCCGATTTCTGCATCTTCTGCGCCGCCATCTTGGCGACATATTTTTGAATCATTCCCGCGCGCGCCAAATCGCATCAATGCCTGTTTGCTAAGAACATATCCGGCACCCCCACTAAAGTAACCTTGCTTCACTATAGGTTTAAAATGATGTCCAAAATAAATTGGATCGTCTTTATTTTGACTAGAAAGGAAGTAACGTAAATTTTCTAAAATGACGTAGGTATCATCGTCTGCTTTCATAAACCAGTCTGCCTCATTAAAATGATTCTCAAAAATGTATCTAAACGCTTTCATCGTTTTACCAGTCAAATGATCTCTTCCTTCGGGGACATCTATTCCTATAGTGGGAAAACTTGTGTTCGTTTCTGAACTAATAAAAATAAGTTTGTTACACCGATGAGCCCAAGTATTTCTGACGTGAATAGCTTTCTTCTGTAAGTTTTTTGGACTGGTCATTACCCAACAAAGGACCCGGATTTTCTTTTTTAAATCCACCGCTTCTTTGTCGTCATCTGAAAGAAAAGACGAGGCGTGATGTGTTTTTTTTACTCGAAGACACATATGAACACAACACTATGGGGTTTACAAGTGTGTTATCACAATGGACATTAAGCTTCATAGGCCACAATTAAGACATACTGTAGGTTAACCTGTGAAAATCATCACTATTATCACAATATTTTATAATGTAATTTATTTTTTAAAATTAGTATGATCAGAATATTTAATTCAAAAAGTTCTAGCGTTTTAATTAGGGTGTGAGCGGTGACGGATCTATATAACGAAAGGTGGAAAACCACCTTTTTTATTACAATTGGCAAGTTAGATATGGCTTATTTCTTTATTTTAATTTCACATCAAAGACTTTGGATTTACGCCGCCAAGATAAGGACATGTTTTACGCTGTATTACATTTCCTAAATCAATTTTCATACGTACATTGCATCTGGTAATAAAATGGACCAACAGAAATAAGAATTTACTGTAAAGCAAATATGTTTGGTTATATTACTAGAACCTACAACTTGAAATGGATCACAAACTCTAAACTCAATGATGACAATGATTTGTTTTACAAATTTGCATGAAAAATAACTTTGAACCCATTCATTGTAAAGAAGAATGATACATATACGCTTAAAATCCGTCACTGGTATAAGATGAGGGTCTGAAGTAAACAAATCACAATTTGAGACCAAATTTGAAGAAACGTACTAGTAAAATCGACAAAGGAAAATACCACATAATTTGTGTAACATCGATGGAGGACAATAATACGAATAATACAAAAACATCGAACTAGAAACATCGACGGAGGATGATAATACAAATAAATTTTAAAAAACAACAACATGGAACTTGAAACATTGACGGAGGACAATTATACAAATAACTAAAAAAACATCGTACTAGAAACATCGACGGAGGATAATAAAACGTTAATTCAGAAAACACGGTAACATAATTGGAAGATGAAGGACGGTAAAACATCAACAAAATGCAAGAAAATATAATCGGTGAAGGACAAGAGAGTATTGTCAAAAACCAAGAAAACACAGTCGAGGACAGAAATATATATAATAAGAACACAAGGATATATAATTCTGGACAAAAAAATCTAATTGAAAACCAAGAAAACATAATCGGAATACAAGAAAACATAAGTGGAAGATTAGAAAGCATATTCAAGGACAAACGGACACATTTAGTAGGCAGGAAAACAAACGGAAGATAAGAATAAATACCCGGAAGACGAAGAGTTGTACAGTAACCGGAAGACAGGGTGTTGTACCAGTAACCGGAAGACAGGGTGTTGTACCAGTAACCGGAAGATAAGAAAACATTATAAGAGAATCAGATGATGTGATAAGAAAGATTAACATTACCATGATGAGCGTGAGCATCTTGGAACTGGACTGGACGCACGATTTGTTGAATCTTATCTAGATCTTCATGTGTCAAGACAGAATCGTGCACGTTGTTAAATTTGCTGGCTTCTTCAACCGGTATTCGACGTGGTGTGTGTATGGAAATGCTCGACGGCCCTGTTGGAAAAAAAGTTACGAAATATGAAGATTATCAGATAAAAAATAGTGTATTTTACATAAAGATCACAAATAAACTTTATCGTTATTTTTGCAAGCAGCTGAAGTAATGCAACGGGAGGTCCTTAAAATATCTATATTTTATAACTAACCTGACATGTAAGACACTGCAAGGAATGCAAACACGAGGCCGACCGACAAACCCAACACAAAGTTGAAAGTTGCATTCTGCATTGGAACTGAAAATATATTACAGAAAGAATAAACTTATAATCAGTTAAAATTAAAGTAAACGATATTCGAAAACGACTTGCTGCTTTCCATGCTTAGAACAAATATATATCACAAACCGGAGAGAGGATCCATGATGATGTCATTAAAACGTCAAATATGACGCTAACACGTGCACTGTGACGTCGTATGGAAAGGGCCTAAAATTTGCCATTACTTGGACTATATTCCTATGGATTAAAATAATAATTTTATCGATTCATATAGATCAAAAAGGGGAAAACATTTTTAATTCTTATTTGCAATGTTTGCTATTGTACAATCCTATCATTCAGACAGGACGTCATATGAATAAAACACGTGGTATTGCCATCCTCGATCTTAACTTTAGATAGATGCACTATATATACTAGATGATATCAATATACTCATCTACTTGATATGATAGCTTTAACAATAGCCTTTTTAGAAAATATACTTAAGTTACAAACAGCTGTCGACAAATTTTATACAGACAGCACGTGCTCTTAACAAAGATTTAAAGATCAGGATCAAGATCAGGATCAAGTCTAAAAACTCAAATATTCTCCATTGTTTATCGTAATAGAATAAATATTTAATATGAACATGATAAAACTGGACTTGAAATAACATGTTTATGAAGTTTTAAAATTGTAATTTTTGCAAGATATGGCAGTTTACAGTTGATCCAAATATTGATCTTGATCCTAAAATTGATCCTTATTTTGATCCGACTATCCCCAAATTGGTTTGTTACTTTGCAAAACAGCAATTGTTTACATTTTGAATATAATTATACCATTTAATTCTTGCAAATTACGATCAATATTAGTTATATGAAACAAAGAAATTAAAATCAGGATCACTTGATCCTAAACCTGATCTTTTCTAAGTGAACACGGGGCCTGTTATTTATCTAAAAAGCATTTATCATTGACCGGACCAAAAAACATACTTATTATATAAATAACATATAAAAAGTACAATATGTGCACTGTAACACACT